TTTTTTCAGGGATAACATTGTGCTTTCCATTTCACATTAGTAAATAATTCTACTTCAGACTTTATATAAAAATGTCAGAAATGATTAGCAGCATATAAGTTTGACAATCAGCAGGGAAACATCAACAACGCTCTCCACCGTTATCAGTGTTTACCATTAGAACCAAAGCAAAGACTTCAGCAGAACGACTTGTCACTGTGTGGTTAGTTTGTGAATCACCACCTCGATAAGACGATAAGAGATTCGTTCTTGACAATTGCAGCAAACGTCCACTGTTTTTTGAGCTCCATTTAGTTTGCTCTAACAGTCTGTGCGTAATTAACTCCCAATTAGCAAGGGAGCGGCTCCTCATCACTGAGCCTGTGAGCTGACGTACCAGTGCAGTCTGACTCCTAGACTGCTTTGGTTCAATCCAAACGCTTTGAAAAAAATATGAACGGATTAAAGACTAAACAACATTTAGAGAAGTAGTAAATTATTCATTATGGTGACTTCTGAAATTATAATTTCACCCACAGGCTAATTCCTCTCGACATTTAGTCGATCTTAGTGGAATGACTAATCCGATGTATGGAGGTATGTATGAACGTATAGGAGAGAGAAAGGAGGCGATCGAGCTTGCGACGAGGCTGATAGCAATCTCACAGCTCACTGAACGTCAACTTCAAATTCAGTTTTAATACACACTCCCCCATCTTTGTTTGCCGCAAGTCAGATATTTATCTGAATAAGTAAAGAGATTCATAAATAAATGCATTTAGTTAACCAAGTGCAACTTCCTGTAAATGAAACTGGGTGAGATTTGATAAATTGGTGGGCAACCGTGTACTGTGTTGACTCGTGGATGATCTGATATCCTCGTGTTGGTGTTGTTCCCAGACCATCATGAAAATGTTGTTCCAGGTTCAACATTGCAAGTGACCAATCACATTGTTGTGACGTTGTTCTTGATGTTTAGACTGTGCATCTTGGGGTGCCGGTATGGTGCCAAAAAAAGTGATTGTAAACTGTTATAAATGACCTTTTGGCCTCTAATGTGTCAAATATGTGCCAAACATATCTCTCATGAATGGCATCCAATCATTTTCAGCCCGAAAGAACGTTCCACTTTTTGTGGCTTTTATATATCCGTTATTTGTGCAGGTAAAAAGTCTCATTGCCATTAAAAGTGTCTTTTTTCAAAAAACCGCGCCAAACACAACATCACTTTTATATAAAGATATTTTAAGTAGCCAGAAAGGACTGGATTGATCATTATAGAATACAGAGTAGGCAAAATGACGCAGAGTCATGAAGGTTTTTGCAAAACAGTCTTGACTTACAAACAAAAGCAAAAGTGTAAGACATAAAAATCACAGACAATCATTTCTTGGAACAACACCTGAAACGTCTCGTGCATTGGATGATTTTTTTTAAACTGAATGAAGCGTGGGCTACAAAAGACCCAAAGACTCTAAACAAGGAATTCAAAAAGAACCCCTCATTATGCAAACTCTTAACACGGTTCGCTTATCTGTTAGGGCTGATTCACTTGACAAGCATCACCGTCATCACAAGAATATCTCTATTTTTGTTTCTGATTTCCCATTATGTCATATTTCGGTGTTGAGCTCAACCTCACTCAGACTGTTTTGCCTCGGATAGGGCCACATTCATGCGACAATACACCACAGATTAACATTAGTGGCTGTAGAGCCATCAATTTAGCTAACAGCAACATGGACAGCTTGTTCCCTCGAGTCCTCTTCAACAGAGACATGTGCACCTCCATGCTCGTTTGATTGATTGCCCTTTTCGCTGGAATGTGTGGATTTCATTTGATAGCACCGTGCTCGATTTTGACATCAGATTACACAAAAAAAAGATATGAAAGAGGTGGGTGTATTTTTATAGTTTGTGAAGGAATGGTAGCTGTCTTCAAACTACAAAAAACAAAACAAAATAGCAACAAGCAAACAAAATCCGTTTCTCTTTGGAAGGTCATCGATTGCATCTCAATCGGACAGCCACCAATAACCAATAGCCTGCTGAAGGTTGACTTTGGTGGGGAGTGGTGCCAGTTGCTGGGGAGGCGCTGACCTTGGTGCTGAAGTTTAGTTTTTGCTGATCTCCACCTTTATATGTGGACCATATAAAGAGGATACTGTTGCAAACTGCGCGTCAGTGAGCCGTAATCCAGAGCATTCTCACATGATGTGAATCTCAGAAAGCCTCCTTATGAAATCGGTGAGAATCAGTGAGAGCTTGTATTTTTATTATGAAAATTTGTGATCATTATTTAAAATTTTCAGGTAAAATAAGTTATTAAAAACAGATTAACCTTTTGCTCTACGTGGCTGTAGAGATATATAAATGTAGCCTATTTAATGCGGTTATTATGGCGTACACTTTGTAAGTCCGTCCAAAAATTAGACAAAAGGAGTTTAATCACTAAACGATACCAGCTATTGTCATTTGCCTGGCGGCTTTAGTGAGCTGAGACTAATGGAGTTTTACTTGCGGGGTTAATAAGGCCATCGGGGAAAAGACGCATGATTGTACTTTGGCTGGAGACATGAGATCCTCGGAAACCTGCGCGCTTCCAGCCCGCACGTCACTGTCCTGACATCAGCACAGAGCTTAAATACCAGCAAATCCGAGTGGTGTAAAACAAAAACAGGCACACCTGTTGTGGTTATGCCGGGATCCGAACACAGTGCTGGAACACAACATACGTTTCACTGCTGTGTGCTTTATGCGTTTATGAGCACAAGATTCCACGCAATGTGATTTTTTTTCCTCTCCATTTTTTTGGAGAAGCACTTTGTTTTTTTTCAGAGCGACTTTTCTGAAGGTCACTGAAAGTCCTTCGTGCTTTAATCTTCGTGCATTGTTACTGCTTTTTTGTTTTGTTTAATAATGATCAACCACACTGCCGCGTTTGAAGAACTGGACACAAACGTTTCTGAGCCGTCACAGCTTCTCTCGCTTAACCAGAGCGCTTTCCCTGCGCTTCGGCTCGAGTACAAGTCTCTGATCACTTCAGCCACCATGTTCGCCGTGGGCGTCCTGGGAAACCTCATCGCCATAGTGGTGCTGTGTGTCTCCAAAAAAGAACAGAAGGAAACCACTTTCTACACGCTGGTCTGCGGTATGGCCATCACTGACCTGTTGGGGACGTGCTTCACGAGCCCGGTGGTAATCGCCACGTACGTGTCTAGCCGGTGGCCAGGGGGAGCGCTGCTCTGCCACTTCTTTTCCTTTTCCATGCTTTTCTTCGGCTCCGCCGGCATGTCTATATTGTGCGCTATGGCTGTGGAGCGATACTTGGCCATAAATCACGCGTACTTTTACTCCCAGCACATAGACCGAACCATGGCGCGGTTTGCGCTCCTGGTCACCTACCTGGCGAACATCGTGCTGTGTATTATGCCCAGTTTTGGATTCGGACAGCACGTTAGCCAAATCCCCGGGACTTGGTGCTTTCTCGACTGGAGAGCAATGGATCCGCTGGGAGCTTGCTACTCGTTTCTGTACGGCGGCGTGATGATTATATTGATCGCAGTGACTGTTTTGTGTAACTTGGCGGTGTGCAGGACGTTGGTGGGCATGAACCAGAGGACAGGAATAGTCAGGACTGAGCTGTGTGAGCAGGGGTGCTCCCGTCGACGCTTCCCTCGGCTGCCTTCGGTCACTTCTGCGGCAGAGATCCAAATGTTCTGGCTTATGATCTTGATGACCATCGTATTCCTGGTCTGCTCTATCCCATTAGTGGTAAGGGCAACAGACTATTTGTTTCTATTTGTTCTCTTATGTCTGCACCCAGTGCACATTCAGTTACTGGTCTTAGCTTTATTTGATATCATAACTCAGATATCTTCTGTCATGCTTTTGTCTCACAGGTGCGAATCTTTGTTAACCAACTATATGGCCCATCTTACATTTCTGCTGGGATGAAGCCCGACTATCGCAGCGACCTGTTGGCAGTCCGCTTCGCCTCGTTCAATCCCATATTAGACCCCTGGGTGTACATATTGTGTCGCAAAAACCTGCTATTGAAGGGCTGCGAGAAGCTAAAGAGAACAGTTAACAGGGTCAGGGATGGAGGCGGCGACAACATCGGCTGGGCAGAGGGTCAAAACTCTCCACAGTCTTTAAACAGCAACGATACCAGTTACGCTTCCATACGCACATCCAGCTACAGAAACGACCGGGACCATCACGGACTCATCCAGAATAAATCTTTTACAGACTTTGCCCTGAGACAAGCGTGGGAGTACGACACGGCCCGTGTCAGCTTTCACCCGTTCAGCGTCGAATCGACCGCGACCCTTGGCTGTGATGACGAGGTGGAGGGTAACTCCAAACAGGAGGCAGCCAAGGCATCTCCAGGGCGCAGCGTAACGCCGCTGCTTCCTGCGCACATAAGGAGAATGGACATCGTTACCTGCACGTTCAGCACACCGAGCTCCTGTGAGTCTGCGAAGTGTCTCTGAGTGAAGTTCACGAACTCCCGACAGCAGTTTTCAAGCACCTCGGCCAAACCGGGGAAGATCTCCGAACTGTGACTTAATCACGTTTGATCGGTTTAAACCGCCAAGTGTCACATCGTGTAAAATAATATCCAGTAACAACTGCAGCAGTAATCAGCACGTCACCATTAACAGCAGGTAACAGTTTTCATATGATTTAACGTGAGCTGAAAACTAGCAAAGTGCTTCAGGTTTGATCCACGTGATCCAGCGCAGCAGTTCAACAGTAGATTGTGAACTGAAGAACCACGTCATTTCCAAAGAATCACAGAGACCAAACATTTACTTCTTCATGCTGCTTAACCTTAAAAAAAAAGTTTAGCCAGAACAGTATGTGGTAGATTTTTTTTTTACCGTAATAAAAGAAATTTCCAAACTTGGAAATTTAAATATTCATACCCCGTGGGTACAAATAAAGTGCGTGTCATTGTCATTTCGTGGGTTTAAAACTCTTTAAATATGCGACGCCCTTACATGTGTTGTTGCACTACATTTCTTTTACGGGGGCGGTGTAATTTATTTAGTTATTTATTTTTTCTACATGCTGCCAACTCGCTCAGTGCCATGTAACAGTGCTTCATGATGCAGGTATGGAGGACCACGAATGTCTTTCGTGTTTTAATAACTGCTGTTGTAAAAAGCAAATGTGATCAAATCTTATTTTAAAATAAAGAAGAAAAAAACACTGTTCCCCTCACCTGTGTGAGCTCAGTTGCTTACTGGATGTGTTATTTGGTCTGTGCAGATAAATAAAGGCAGCGAAATCACCGGTTTTGCCTGTTCTGCTCAATAAAGAACAATAAGTTTTTAAAGCAGACATCACCAGCTGGCAGCAGACAGGTGGCAGGACAGCAAGTTCCTCTCGCGTCAAAACGAGCATTGCAGTTCGCTTTAGATTCTAGTCCAGCAGGTGGCGCTACAGGATAATTCATCGGCAAATTAAGTTGTTGTGGTGTTAGTTCACACCAGTAACTGTTGCACAGATAACTGGACAGAATAGTCTGAATAATAGGTGTACTAACATGATGTATATTATAAAAAAAACTTTATTCCCTTAGAGGATAATAACATACAAAAATAAAGGAAGCTTTATAATCATCATCATAATAATAATAATAATAAGGACAGAGCGACATAGTGAGAGTATGAATGAGAACTAAAAATCACCTTCAAGGTCTTGTCGTCTAGATTAGGGATGCACGAGTTCTAAAATTCTGGGTCGGTAACAATTTAACTGATAGCTGGTAAAAAAAAAAAATCAAACAAAGTTATTGCATTGTAAAACATAACTTTCAGTTCACATCTTAGAGCATTTAGTCAGCACAAAATTGCTGGGACTGATAGGACACAAAACATGGCCACTGGTAAGTATGTTACTTGGTCAAAGGCTGATGTCAGTCATCAAGGCTGGGGTTATTCTGAAGACACATCGAGAAACTGTCTGAAGTTGAGTGTTTGGCTCACTGGGATTAGTTGTTCATACAATAACCTCAGTATTTAGTGTTTAAAACAGAGCATCCACCAATGTAACAGCAAAGGAAAACCATAATTGATCCTCTTCACTACACACTGTACATACAATGCAGTATGTATTAAAGTTTAAATGACTATTTCCAGCACAAAGGTGACCACAAACACAGATATCTCACCAGACTCAATTATGTTAGATGCTCTCAAAGTAAACAAAATTCAATATTTATCAGTTCTTCCACATTGTTTCAATGTTGGTCCATTTTTGCCCAATATCTGTTAGTCTGGGATGAAAAGTAAATAAGAATTTGACTTCTTGGATATTGTTTTGCTCAATAGAAAAAAATATCAATAACCAGATTTTAGAAATCCAATCTACTTCTGCCTAGAAGAAACTGTTTAGCCAAAGTTTGACTTTCTGTGCTGGGTAAGTGTGAAAATCAGCATCTGGAAAAGAAAAAAAATGTTGTACTGTATGCGAGCACAAGTAACTGTCGACATGAAAAGTGAATCTTGGCAATAAATAGATATTATCTACAATAGAGTTCATAAAAACAGCTCTCATATGAAGCCATAATAAATAAATAATAATTTATCCAAAATAAATATACTTTACTTTTATACAGTAATACATGAAGATGCATGGCATCCATCTGGCTGAGTTCACCTGAACATAGAGAAGACACAATGTAATGTCCCTGTCTGTGTGCGGGAAGAGAACGAATCTTGTGGAAACACCTGTTCTCACCGAGCATGAATGGTCTGAATGGAAACAAAGCGTCCTTTAACTGTAAATTTTCTTTACATCGCTTGAGCTTCAGCCTTCAGGTCTCGCCCAAATGAAATCAAACACATGAAGAAGGTCTCTGTGTATAATAACCAGGCTTTAGTATCCTGCATTAATTACCGGTTATTCAGTTAAAAAGAATTCAGTATCAGAGGGAACAGTATCCAGACTGGGCTTCCCTAATGACCTCCCCCTCAGTCTCTTGATTTTGACCTTGGCCCTTAATGTCCAGCTGCGGCCAGCCCACTTCCTTCTCAGCAGGAAATGTATCAGGGAGGCAAACAAGTGGCCTCTTTTTCTTCTTCTTTTCTGTTTCTGTGTGAGACAGTGCCCCCATATGGCCAAATCCTAAACACGGGGCCTCACACACACACAGACACACACACTATCCAGCCAGAGGCTCTTCAGCTTTATCCATCCTGGGCGCTTATCTGTTTGTACTCATCATTCAGCCCATGCACATGCAGCTGGCGGCAGAGAGCGATTGGATGGTTCTCCACGTGGTCTTGGCATCCATGAACGATACTGGCTCGTAGCGGTCGGGGCGGCAGCAGGGGTGGCTGCTGACCTTGCGGGCGGTGCGTCGAGGCAGCGAGCCATTCTCCAGCAGTGCTTTCAGTGCTAGGTCATAGTTTGTTCTTTCGGCCTGGCAGGAGCCTACACAGAACTTAAAAAGGACGATTTCATCCGAATCAAATCCCAGTCCTAGATCCCGAACCCTCATCTCTTTCTTCTCCACACGGCAGTGCCTGCTGCTCTGCTTCGGGTGTCCGTTTCTCCCCTTACCCTTTCTGTTCCTTGTTTCTGTCTCTTCTTCCTTTTCTTTCTTCTTCTTCTTTTTCTTCGATGATCCCTTGGGCTGAGGTTCTGTGGGATCAGAGGAGCGTGGTGATCGTCCTACCCAGCGACTGCTGGGATGGTCATCCACCTCATCCATTACAAAAGGGTCTGAAAGAGAAGGAAAGAAAGGAAATGGTAGGCTGGGAGTGAACACCAGTTTACAGAATTATGAGCAGTGGGGTATATTTCTTAAGTAATCTACAATCTCACGTCTGCATTTTAATATAAAATGACTTCACGTGTAAGTGTATTCAAAGGCCTGAGACACAAAGCAGGCTCAGACTTCTCTTAACCATCTTTCCATTCTAGTACTGCTCAGTAAAGCTTATGTGCTATGACTTATATAGTAAATGGACTGCACATGTATATATGGAGAGAGCTTTTTAGCGTTATCAGTCACTCAAAAACACTTTCCCAAGAGCTTCAGTACCATAAAGAGGGTGCCAAGTAGAGTAAGGGTCACTGTCTTCTTTCTGTTCCTTATCCTCCACCATTTCAGGCAGCGTCACAGGAAGCTGTCTCTCCTCCTGGTTTCCCAGCAGGCCCACAGTGTGGCCTGAGTCTGATCCCACACCAGCACCACCTTTCATATGAGCTCCTTCCACCAGAGGCAGCAAAGCAATGAGCACCCACAGCAGCACCTAAGAAGACAGAGTATGTCAGCTGGTTCTTATTTGATATATATTCTCTTTCAAACACATAAAAAGATTTCCCTAAAATGTGTTATGTATAGTTAATAAAGTCCTCCGCTCTGGTCAGCTGGTTGTTGTGTTTGCAGGGAAAATGTGCCCTCTGGTGGACAAACTATGCAAGGTGAACCCTCATAACATGGTTGAAGGTTCTTCTTCCAGCTGTTATTTACAGTTTAATTTTCATTTGTCAGTCAATATAAATACCGATACCAATAGATTGATAATAATATCAACTTACAGACAATTCGGCTCTAATTGTCAGTACCCTCAGTACCTCTGAAAGTAAACGTCCCACACATTCTCCATAGGGATTTTGAGCCAGAATGTTGAGACTATCCAAAGCAGACCGAAACAATGACTGTGCTCCTGTAAACCACGAATCTGTTTTATCAACCTTATTTCAACAAAAAACATTTTTAATGGTGATGGCGTGGAAAAGAACTACTCTACCCACAATCGTAAAAGTGACATCTCTGCTTGTGGAAGCCGCTGTTACCGTGGAAATGTTTAAACCAGGTGTGGAGAACTCCTGCAGGTTTTAGATCTCACCCTGGGTCAACACACCTGAATCAAACGACTAGTTCATTACCAGGCCTCTGGAGAATTTCAAGACATATCGAGGAGGTAATGAAGCCATTTAAATCAGCTGTGTTGGATCAAGGACACATCTAAAACCTGCAGGACACTGGCCATTGAGAGCTGGAGTTTCCCCACCCCTGGTTTAAACCGTGTCAACATCAGGTCACGCAAAACTTCAGAAACAGCGTGAGTGGTGATTTTTTTTAAAAAGGATCAAAACACTGTATAATTTAGATGTGTAGGCTGTACACCATCTATCTTAACCAAATCCCACAGCTTTTCCATTAACATTGAAAATTCTCCTACCCTTCCCTCCCCTCAGGTTAAGAGTTTGGGTGTCATACTTGATAATACGCTTTCATTCCAGTCTCACATTAATTACATAACACGGTCTGCTTACTTCCACTTACGTGATATTAACCGACTCCGTCCCTTCCTTACTCCCCATGCTGCTGCCATCCTTGTCCATAGTCTTATTACGTCCCGTATTGATTACTGTAATTCCCTCCTATTTGGTCTCCCTAAAAGGTCCCTTCATAAACTCCAACTTCTTCAAAATTCTGCAGCTCGGGTCATAACTAGCTCATATTACTCCAGTTCTTCAGCAGCTTCACTGGTTGCCCATAGAAGCCAGGATAAATTTTAAAATCTTACTTCTTACATACAAGTGTATCCATAAATCTGCTCCTTCATATTTGTGTGACCTGCTCCATATCACCACTGTTTCCCGCCCTCTCAGATCATCATCTGCTATTCATCTTACTGTTCCGTCCTCACACCTTATCACTATGGGGAACAGAGCTTTCAGTCGCTCTGCTCCTCGGCTCTGGAACTCTCTTCCTCCTGCACTAAGAAATATTGATCTGGTTGGCATGCATCTATCTATCTATCTATCATATCTATCTATCTATCTATCTATCTATCTATCTATCTATCTATCTATCTATCTATCTATCTATCTATCTATCTATCTATCTATCTATCTATCTATCTATCTATCTATCTATCTATCTATCTATCTATCTATCTATCTTATCTATCTATCTATCTATCTATCTATAACAGTTCTTTAATGTAGATTGTATAAGACATATTAAGACATATTAAGGTAAGTACAGTAGTTTTAAGGTTTCTAAGGCAGCGAGTTTTCAGAGAAGTGTAATTACAAACAAATATCAGTTAACACCAGAGGAATAATTTGCCTAACCACAAAACTCAGCTGACGGGGAGCTTTACAGATATAAAACTGATAAAGATAATAAGATTCTACTCAGAAGAGCTTCTAAAACACACAGGTTTTTAATAAGCCCCTCAAAAGAGCTGCAGCAGCAGCTTTGTCTCAAGCCTGTTTCATCTTCAGTGATATTTAAGTCAAATAACTGTGCTTTATTTCCGCCTTGGATCAAGCTCCGTCCGCTGGCTTATCATTTAGCACCGAAAGCTTCGGTGCTGACAGGGCTTCATGAAAAGCTCATTTCTGAGTCTGGTGGGGATGGATTTCATTAACAATTTATACACACACATAACTCTTCCTCTGGTTTATAGTGGTCTGCACAGTCAAACTGAAAACTTATAAGGTGAGCTTATATGTACAGAGGAGGATTTCATTTAAGTGAGTTTGAAAAAGATGGAGAACAGAAAGGAGGTGAAGAGAAAAACAGGCAGAAGTTGGAGGAGAGGTAAGTATGAGTGTGCTTGCTGCAGACAAACCTTGCCCTTTGCAGAAGTAACGTCTTGTCTATCCGCCCTCCGAATCCTCCATCTGGTCCCACCTGGAAAGAAAGAGAGGGACAGAGGAATTTAAGAACAAGAACAAGGCTTCAACTTTCCTCCTCCTAGAACTCCTTTGAAAAGGATAACATAAACTAAAGGGACAACATGCGGGCGATATGGTGTGTATACATTCACAATTGTCCAGATACTGTAAAAGAAAACAGGCCCATGGGCCCCTGAGCAAGCCGACATGTCACATAAATCACGTCCTCAGTACATGAGGACAATGTTTTGGTTGCTGCTTCAGTAAGAGACTAGTGTATGCTGCCAGTTACTGTGGCTAGTGTTGGCTTGTCTGTTCATACATCCATGCAAACAACCCCAGTCCGGCAACAAAAGCCAGTATCTGCAATTTACTTGTCAAAGGCATTCTTTAGGGTTATTCCTGTGGCAGAGGTACAAGCAGGGGGAACCAGGCATGGCAAGAGCACTTCACGGAGGTCCCAGACAAAAACCACAGAGATGCAGGACAGGTGATAAGAAGTGTCACGGATGCAGATGTTTATATATAGTACGTGCTGTGTGGAGGATTGTGCTGGCTGCGGAGCGCCTGCAACATGAGGTCATCAGGTTAAACTGTGGCCTCCCAAAAGGGGAACTCAAAGAAGATCAGACTATCACAAAGTTGTAGGTGTTTCTACTTTATATTGATTTAGTACTTAAGAAAAACATCTTTAAAATGCTCAACAAAGGCAGCTGGACACCAAAACAGTGGCTCACACTGCTTGGAAGCTTTAAAGGTAACCAGTTCACAGGTTAAGTGAATAATTTGATTGGCTGGTGTTTGAACTATAATATATATATATAT